GTTCGTAGCTTCATTTTACTTCCATTATAACACTACATATTTCATCAATTGCATAATTGATCTTGTACAATTTCACATAATACAAGCGTGGTCACGTGCTTCGACTCACTCTTTTGATTTCGCTCGCGCTTGCTGCGGTCATTCGCGAGTCTCATGTGCTAACTCTGGCACCAAAACATTTCAGACTATCTTCGGAATCTATTATATGTGGGAGCTGTTCAGAAGACCTCTGGACCAACATAATTGGATTATTGTTTATTCGCTGACCTGGGCCAACGACAAACTATTTTAAAGAGAACAGTTGTTAGTGAGTCTGTTCCCTCTGACCTCTTTATTTTTGTATACCAAACCTGGCGTTGTTATCTTTATTTCTTTGCCGCACACTCCTGGTAAACTAACTTATTGGGTATTCAGACCACTACACACTTAAGTGCGACCTGATTTTCCAGCACGAATATGACCTAACTATATCTAACGAGGAAGCACGAACGACCTACCCACCTCAAAAATATTTAATTAAGTCAATGAATCAAGGCTCCGTTCTGGGACAAGCGCTGTTTCTAATCTACGTCAACCACCTCCCAGTCTACTTTTTGCGGACGACTTGAAATCCTGAAGTTTCAATCCCAGTGCCCTCCAACTGGGTGTAGACGCTGTCGAGCAGTGGTCGTTGGACTGGCACCTTCCTCCGAATGATGAAAAGTGCGTCCATATATCATTTGGCGGAGACTCAGCGAATGTCATTGTTATGCATGGTGAAAAGGGACCAGAAACCATCATGACGATAGATGCCAAAATGATTTGAGTAACTGGGTCTCCTCAAACGTGTCCTTCTCACTGCACCGTGAAAAATCGGCCCAAAATGCATTCGCCATTTTACGGATGATCCGACGCACCTTCTCCCGTATTACTCGCATGGACTTCCAAATACTTTATGGGGCCTACGTCAGACCGCTCCCGGAGTACGCCAACGAAGTTGTCTACTCAGGACGCACGAGAGACGTCACCCTCATTGAGCGTGTCCAGCGGGCCGCCACGAGAATGGTTGCCGGCCTCAAATCCGTGGACTACGAAACGCGTCTCGCGATGCTTGATCTCTTTCCCCTGGAGTACCGTCGCCTCCGAGGGGACCTAATTCTTACTTACGCCCTGTTTGAACAAAGCTTGGCAAACAGGTTTTTACCGTTGACCCAGCAAACACCCGGCGGGGACATAGTAAGAAAATCTTCAAGCTCAGGGCACACACATCCGTTAGACAAAACTTTTTTTCATTTCGGGTAGTAGCTGCGTGGAATGTCCTTCCTCCGACGGTTGTACACGCTCCTTCTCGAACCCAATTTAAAGCACTATTAGACAGTTATTTATGCGAATCCTCGCGCTGGCGAGCATACTGCCCCGCGCTGAGAACATAAAGAGCAGCGCTACACCCTTTTTTCACTTGTGCCTTTCAGGTGAACGACAGCAACTGACCGACAAGAACAAAACCGACCAGGGAAACTTGGGCAA